CCGGGATCGAAGCCACCTCACATTCAACGATTCGATAGGCGTGCCGTCTAGAAGGATCTCACCCGCTACGGGCTCGTAGAATCGAAGGATCAGTTTGGCGATGGAACTTTTTCCGGACCCAGAGGAGCCGACGACGGCGGTACTCTTCCCGCTGGGGAACATGATGTTGAGATCATGTGCCACGACCACCTCCGGCCGAGATGGATAAACGTGCTTCACGTTCCGGAACTCGATGTTCCCCTCAACGCTGACATCGTCGGGCTTGGCTCCTTGATCACCTAGTGAGTCAATGGGCGACTTTCGGTTGAGGATTTTGCAAACCCTCCTGGTTGCCGCCATTGCCGACGTGAACTTCTCGGCGTTCTGGGCGACGCCCAAGACGCAAAACGCCGCGCTCTTGGTGACAAGCGTGATGGCCACGACCGCCATGAAGGATGTCTCGGCGTCGACCATGAACCGGGCGCCCTGCCAAAAGGCCAGCGCCACGTTGAAATAACCAGTGGCCACGACAACGGCAAGAAGCACACCCATGAGGGTTTTGAGCGTGAAATCCGCCTGCCTCGCCACATCGAGGCATTCGACATAGGTATCCAGAATCTGCTTCTGCAGTCCCAACGCCGTAGTGCTCCGAATCGAGGTCAACGCTTCTTCCGCCAGCGTGCTGCCGGTAGACTGGGCCTCACTAGAACGTCCGGAAAAGCGGCTCGACACCAGCTTGCCGATGTAGAGGAGGGCCAGCGCCAGAAAGAATGACCACGTCAGTATGAGGGCCAGTTTCCAGAACATGACGAGGCTGACGACGTAGGTGCCTACGAGGGTGCCCACGGCGCTCAGGGTGACGGAGAGCTTCTGGGACAGAGCCTCTTGGATGAGGTTCATATCGACGCTCAGCTGCGTGACCAAGTGTCCGGTGCCGATGTCGTCGAAGACGGCCATGTTCTGCCGCAGTGCCGCGTCCATGTAGCGGACCTTGACGCGCCGCGTGATGTTTGATCCGACATATGAGAATCCCGCCGTGGAGATGAACCAGGCGAAGAGAGACCCGACGGCGAGGTAGATGAAGTAGAGAGAGTACTGTGTGATCAAGACCCGGCTCGCCTGGGTGTCGGCTGTCGACCCTTCGTTGTCGACGCCAGCCAGGACGGAGGAGAGGCGACCGAATACGATCTGTGTGTAGGTAAGTTTTAGCAAGACGAGCATCAAGAGCCAACCTCCTTTGCATAGCTTGAGTTCAAATCATACCGGAGGAACGGGAATAATGGCCCCCGCGGCAAGAGCAAAGACGGTGCTGATGCCTGCGACAATAAGATCGCCTTTGGACGCGTATAGAAGCAACGAGAGCAGATGTGTCTCCTCATCTTGTGAAAAATGCAGTTGGCGGTCGACGATCTCTCGCTCAACTTCTTGGAGTTCATGCTTGACAACATCAACAAGACTGGCCGAGTTGCCGTCAGGGACGGGTTCAATTATTTTAGTCATTGCAAATTAGGTCGATGTCCATTGGTGGGAAGTTTCGTTGATGTCGAGGAAGTGAAAAGACGCGACGCGAGACTGACAAGATGGCGGCGAAACAGGCGGTAAAGGACGGGAACTATCGGTTTGAATTCTGCAAGAGCTGATCAAGCAATCAACCTTGGTCTCTTTGTCAGCAGCTGAGGATGGAATCGTGGCTCGGCGGGAAGTGAAGCGCTGTTGGCCGAGTCGAGACAGATTAGGGCCTAAATCAGATTGACAGGGGTGTTTGGCCGTCAGTCAGTCGGGTCGCGAGATAAGTCCAAATGTGCGTAAAATAATCTACTAATCTAATTCATTGACCGCCACGGAGCAAGCCCCACGTGATCTATGTCCGGACAGCGCTGCTTCTAGCATCGGATGCTTTGCTGCCAGCTTGGAATCCTCCCTTTCCGCCTTGATGACTCTTGGAATCCTTTCCGAGCGGCGCAGCCGCAGTCATCAGTACACACCCACCCATCCCATGTACGAATACCGACATGTGTGGGTCTTGAACTGGGTACTCCCTCATCCATGTCTTACATCCTAGTCACACCCCACAGCTGTCCCCGGGGGTACGGTGATCTTGATCAGGCCAAGGACTTGCAAGGGTCAGACGAGCGGACACCGACACCCCACCCCCATCAAATGCGAAGGAATTCCGGATAGAAGCATATGCAGGAAACGAGATGCGGCTGAATAAAAACACCAGACCTAAAAGCCGTCAGCGTTGCAGCAAGGCAGCAAGGCCTCTTCAGGATTTTCGCCTCGCCTACCCTTGCCACGGCATGATACCTAATCAAGACGAATGTGACTACCTACTATGTCTCAAAAAATATACCCATTAACCGGTACTACTGGATACTTCGATTCCAACGAACTCCGGTTCTCGGAACCGGGTTTTGTCAGGGTCTCGTCCATCCCCAGGGCAAGGACAGCTGAAAACCGTGGTTTTACCCGTATTCGAGCCTTCTCAAGGTTCTGCTCTCCCAAGACATCATACCACTACATGACATCAAAGGTGTACAACACGCTCACACACGCTCACACACACAGCTGGCTTCAAGTTATCCCCGCAAGATGCCACAGTCGGACAGCATCAGTACTCGGAACGCCGCCCACCTCGGTGGAACTGAGGAATTCGACGCAATCGTCGGAGGCAATAGAGGTGTGCGAGGTGGTCTCGTCCCGAGTCGTCGACTCTCTTGCTAACACGAGGCCCAGTCTTTTTTCGTTGCCATTGGAAGCTGAACGGCCAACCCAAGGTTGTCGAAGACCCGGATGACAACAGGTCTCTCCAACCACCATACCGGACTCTCGACCTGGTTCTCGTCGCAATATCTGTCATGCCTCAGTATGGCAAAGGGGCTTCGAGTCTTTCCAGTTCCGCAGGCGACGACAACCGCGGACTCGGTGGATTTCTTTGGGGCCCGCCTGACGCCGTCGACTCGGAGGCCAGGCGCTTCGTCCGAGCTGCCGTGGACAGAAATATCGCACAGTACGCCTCCTCGATCACCGCCGTGAAACTTCTACTTCCGACGGCAGACGGCTACGCCCTCCGCAATGACCTTGTCCAGAGACGGCTCTTGACCTGCGACCTCGTCGAGGAGGCGGCCGACTTCACTTCAACAGGAAAAGAGATCCACGCGTTCGACTTCGAAGAGGGCACTCGCGTCATTCCGAGGGCATTGGACGGCGCAGTGGGTGCCATGCTGCAGAAACAACTGCCGAGTATGCAACTTCAGCTCGTGGAGTACACCTTGTCCCTCCTAGAAGCCGAGGTCACAGGAAGACTCTCATTTCCCTGGATCAGCCACTCGCCGCTTCCAAAGTTCCGACTGGCTGTCGTGGAGGCCAGACCCAACGAGATGGTGGCTGCGACTGCGGGCATGGGCATGTACCGCGCCGCTCGCGCCTTGGGGATCGACCTCATCATCTTGGAAAGGGACCACGAATGGGCCCGCAAGTTGGCCGCCGAGGGCGGTGGTGTCGAGTTCGTTCCCTGCGACCTGACGCAAGACGACGGGCTGCCTGATCGTATCGTCGAGGCCCTCTCGCACAGCCGACAGCCAGTGGATGGCATCACCACGTTCAACGACTATTACACCCACGTGACCGCCTTGGTGGCCGAGAAGATGGGGCTGCCCACGAACCCCTCGCAATCCATCCATCTTTGTCGTGACAAGGCGAAGATGCGCCAGGCGGTATGTCCGGACACGCAAATCCTCTCCGTGCAAGGGCTCGCGGACTTGAGGCAGAAGCTTTCCAGGTTGAAGACTCCGCTGCAGTACCCCTTGATCGTGAAGCCCGCCATCGGATGTGCGTCCGAGGGAGTGACGAGGGTGTCGTCGGAAGCAGACCTCTTTATGGCGGTGGACCGAATCGAGCAGAAGTTCCCCGGGACCAGCTCCCTCCTCGAGCCGTACGCTTCCGGGCCGGAGGTGGACGTGAACTTGATGTTTCTCGACAGGAAGCTCATCTGGGGTGAGGTCGTCGACGATTTCCCCACCTCGGCCGAGGTCGACGAGATTGCCGATCCCAACGCGTCCGCGGTCCCGAACAGGGGAGCTGGACCTCAAACTCCATCATCGTCCATTTCCTTCGCCGAAACTTCCGATATCCTGCCATCGATCCTGCCGAGTGACGAAGTGGATCTCTTGAAGCGTGATTTGGCCGAGAAGCTGAAGAGACTGGGAATCCGCAACGGGATATTCCACCTCGAGGCGCGGGTCGAGAACAGCAAGGCGCGATTTGCCATGACGGAGCGAGGTGTCGAGGTCGTACCTCGAGAGGACAGCACCTCGACCGGTAACAAGCCAGACCCCACCGTGTTTCTCATCGAGATCAACGCCAGGATTCCCGGCCATCAGGAATCGTACTCTGTGGAGTACACCTACGGCATCGACTACTATGCATTGCAGCTCCTGGCAGCTCTGGTTCCGCCCGGGGAGGGGGAATCGGCACACGATGTGGTGAAGACGCACATCCGGGCCTTGTCCCGGCCTCTACAACCAAGCAGCCAGTTTCCGACGCACATTATGTTCTCAGCAGCAACACGCGGAGGCACGTTCTTGGGCGCCGATGCGCTCCCCTCGTCCCTGGCGAGGTGGATCACGAACTCCAAGGTGTACAAGAACGTCGGAGACGTGATCGGGAATCCGTCCGTGGAGGGCAAGTGGCCGTTCTTGGCGTACTTTGGTGTAACTGGGAGGTTGGCTGGACGTGATGGAAGGGAACAGGCTCGAGGACTGGGGGAACTCGTCAGGGAAACCTTCACATGTTCAGTAGAATGATGAAAGCGCGATAGGATGAGCCAAGCAAGTCACAACAGCTCATGTGATAATGTCATACACAGCCACATTTCGGAACAGGGATCAGGGTTAGGGCTATTTCCGAACTTGCACTTTCCTTTTCCACCTCCACATACCCGGGAACTAAGACGCGCCAACATCCAAAGAGCCGACATCCCAGCCCATGGTCCATCCAGACCCATAATATCATTCATCACAATGGTGACCCTCATCTGCAGCGTGACCGTGACCGCCCTCTGGCCTCCCAGGAGAAGCGTTCATGTTGTCCGTCAGCAACTGCGCCGCTTCTCCAACAAGTTCGAGCTCTACGCGAACGCGCCCATCCCCGCCAACAAGCGCAGGTTCGTGCCCGACTCGGGCTTCTATCCAAAGGGATTCTCCGTCGCCAGCATCAATGCCGGCATCAACAGCACGAAGAGAACCCGGCCGGACTTGACCATGGTCAAGTCCGACGTGCCGTCTTGCGGGGCGGCGGTTTTCACTCGGAATAAATTCCCCGCCGCTTCTGTCACGGCGTCGCGGAAACACCTCTCGGCGACCAAGGGGAACGGACTTCGAGGCGTCATCGCGAACGCCGGGTGTGCGAACCTGTTCACTGGCCAGGCCGGGCTGGACGATGCCGCAGCCATGATGAATACGGCCAACGAGCTGTTGGTGTCACCATCTTCTGCCACCGTAGCTGTTGGGGAGACACCGCCTTCCGTGATAGTCATGCATACTGGTAAGGGGGGTGAGAGGTGAGACCTGGTTCGTCATGTCTTTAGGACGATACGATGCTTATGAGCTCCAGGCTTCCTATGGATAAGGTCCTCCAAAGCATCCGACACCTCCCCGATCGCATGGGAAATTCACATCAGCATTGGCTGGGAGCTGCTGAGGCGATATGCACCACCGACACCTTCCCCAAGCTCGCCTCTCGACAGTTCGAATTGCCCTCCAACCCGGGTATCGTCTATTCCATGGCCGGGATCACCAAGGGCGCCGGCATGATTCACCCCAACATGGCCACGACGCTGGGCATCATCTGCACGGATGCTCCCATCCTGGCTTCGGACCTACAGGCACTCCTCGCGGACGCCACAGACAAGACGTACAACTGCATCTCCATCGAGGGAGACACGTCGACCAACGACATGGTCGCCATATTCGCGAACGGTGCCGCGGGCGGGAAGACGATCGGCCAAGACGCGGAACGCTCGACAGAGGCGGCGGCCCGGGACGATTTCCGCGCCTTCAAGCAGGCCCTGGACGAGCTCATGACGGAGATGGCGAAGCTGGTCGTGCGAGACGCCGAGGGAGCGACCAAGTTCATCACAATCCGCGTTCGGGGCGCGTGGTCGCCCGCCCGCGCCAGGCGCGTCGCCGGCGCCGTGGCCCGTTCCGTCCTGGTCAAGACGGGCGTCACGGCCGGCGACCTAAAGAACTGGGGCGGGACCGTCCTGGCGGCGGTCGGATCCTCGCTGCTCGACGTTCCCGGGCCCCGGGACCACGAGCTCGGAGACGGCCCTGATCCAGAGGCGCTGCGGGTGGACGAGAGCCGAGCCATCATCCCGGAGCGCGTTTCGCTGAGCGTGTTGCCCGTCGGGCGTCTGGCGGCCACGGAGAGGCCGGTGGTCGTGCTCCGGAGGGGCATGCCGATGGACGTGGACGCGTCGGCGGCCAGGGCTCTGCTCGAGCATGAAGATATTGAAGCGCTCATTGATATGGACGATGCCGATTTGGATGACGAGAAGGATGGGAGGACGTCTCACAAACAGAAATATGAGGCAGTTTACTGGACATCAAATCTGACGCAGGACTTTGTCGCTGTGAACGGCGGATAGACAAACACAGGGCACGCTTCATAGATTTATATTTACTACATAACCATACTTCTTCATCGCGTTCTAGGTCATTCAAGCACACTTGAAATTGGGACACGAGTGATCAGGCACGCCTGTGTACCTGGGCCCGATAGAGCGAGCGACGACCGCCCTCGCTGATAGCCGTGCGGCCATGCAGGGTAGTCTTGTTCTCAAACACGAGGAACTCATTCACGTTCCAACGGTGCTGATACATATACCTCGGCTGCAGCAGATAGCGCTCCAAGTCGGCCAGGAGCGCGTCCGAGTCCACCTCGACCCCGGGAACCGTGCTGACGGCCTTCATGGCCCAGCTGCGCTCGATGCCGGCCGGGAAGGGCAGGCACAGGCGCAGCGACGCCTCCCCGTCCTCGCCGACCTGCAACGGCGGCACCCGGATCCCCTGCTCCGACGAGGCCGTCGGGTAGTGGCCCTGCTCCTGGATGTGGTACTCGAAAGTGACCTTGCTCAGCCTCTCGCGCAGGTCCGACGGCATCTCCTTGCCCGCGCGCACCTGGTCGACGATGAAGGTCTCGCCGGAGCCGGGCTCGTCGGAGAACTCGGCCGCGTACAGCATGATCAGGTCCGGGTACTGGCCGATGAGGATGCCGTCCGTGTGCAGGGGCAGGGGGCCGCGGCCGAGCACGACGTTGCCCTTGTCGTGCGTGGCGTTCAGCTTCATCAGGTCGCTGGAGCCCGTCTTCCACTTGTGCTGGACCGGGTCGCCGAGGCAGTGGACGAGGGATTTGAACTGCTCCTCGGCGAGGGGCAGGTTCTTGACGAGCACGAAGCCGGCGCCCTTGAGGCTCTCCAGAAGTGTCTCGGAAAGCTTGGCGAGGGCCTCCTCCGAGGCGGTACCGTCCCAGTGGAGCAAGCGTCCGGCGCCGGACGGTGTCATGGGCGTGTGCTGACGAAGGTGGTCAGCCTTGGGTGCCAGGTTGGTAACGCTAGCGAGAGGGCCGTCTTCCAGGACGCGGGATGCGATGGCTCGAAAGCACTCGTCGTAGGCCTGGATCTTCAGCTCACGACTGCCAAAAGTCGCGTCGAGCCCGCCCTGCAGACCGCCTCCGAGGTGGATGCCGATCTTTTTGCGCCAAGCGGTTGTCATGGGCACATATGGCTCCATGGCGGCACGGAAGAAGGCCTTCTCACGACCTCCGCGGATCTTGCAGGCTGGGTGGATGTCCAGAGCGGACAGAACAACATCCTTGTGCCAGTAAGGGTGCGACAGCCTCTTGCCGTACGTGTGCGCGACGAAGTCGGTGAACTCGTTACTGTTGCGCGAGCAGTCGACGCCGTCGATGATGTCCTTGATCAAGGCGTCGACATCATCGGCACCGGACGAGGGAGGCAGGCCGAGATTCACTAAGTCGCTGCCGTAACCCGTCAGGATGTGTTTTTCCTTGATGATGCCACTGCGGAGCATGGCTGTAATGCTAATGGCGATGTCGACGCGCTCGTTCTCGGAGTGGCCCATGGCGCGGATGGACTCGGGGACGGCGGCGAGCAGCTCCTCGGCCGAGAAGTCGACGCACACGTGCGGGATCCCAAGGAAGTCGCAGAGCTCTTTGGCCTCGCTGTGCTCGTTGCCCCAGGGGGTGCCGGCACTGTAGGCCGTCACTTTGAGGCCGGACAGGACGGCGAAGGCGGTCACGGCACCCGAGTCGATGCCGCCGGAAAGGAGGGTGGCGACGGAGCCGTCTCCGTTCTGGGTCATCTGGGAGACGGCTCCTTGCAGGGCCGAGACGAAACTGGAGCCGGCAAGGGCAAAGTCCCGGATCTGCGGGCTCAAGGCAGCCAAGATGGGGTCGCGGAACTGTTCGGTCGAGAGCTTCCATCGACCGCCTTGAGCATCGCCGCTGCCGGTCTTGCGCAGCTCGATGCTTGAGTGGCTCGGGACCTTTGATACGCCGATGAAGGCGGTGGTCTCGTCCCGGTAGATGACGGACGGGTTCGTCAACCCGGCGTGCATGCCCCACTGCGAGCGGGCAAGGTGCAGCGTGAATGCGTCGGTGCCGATAGCCCAAGCTCCCGTGGTGGTGTTGCGTGTCGCGTAAAGTGGTCGATCACTCATAGCACCCGCTCTGGCGCGAAGAATGTCACCGCGGGACTCGATGAACGTGTCCCACTCATCATGGGCCGAGGTTGAAGCACCATCATCTCCATCGAGCCAAGTGTAGGACCCGGAATTCAAAGCATGTCCCTGTCCGTAGACGTGGATGCCGGAGGCCGTGACGGTTTGAAGGGTTTTTTCAAGGGATGAGATGGTCGTGTTGGCGAACAGGACCCACGAAGGCGACGCCTCTTCTTTCCGAACCTGAACATGATTCTGGCTCTTCTTGATGATGGTTTTCATGTTCTTCTGAGCATCACCGGCGGCAAACGCACCACGGTGGGTGCGCTTGGCCGACTCTCCGAGATCCACCAGGTCCTTGCAGAACTTGGCGTTGATGTACGGACGAGTTCCGCGAACGGCCGAGGGCGCCCACGAGCTGATGGTGCGAGCCCTCTCCAGCGCGCGGGCGACCAGCTGCTTGGCCGGGACGACCTCGTGCAGCAGGCCGTCGCGCAGCGCCGCGGGCGCATCCCACTTCTCGGACGTGAACAACATCTTCTGCATGACGGAGCGGCCCACAGTAGCCTCGAGCATCAGCCCGCCAAAGTTGCACGCGATGCCCATGCGGAACTCGGGCATGACGAGCTGGCACGTGTCGGCGCCGATGCGGTAGTCGCAGCAGAGAGCGATCTGGAGGCCCAATCCGATGGCGTAGCCGTCCATGGCTGCGACGACGGGCTTGGAGATGCCGGCGACGGTGGTGTAGAGGTGGGTGAAGTCGTCGATCCAGGCGTCGACCTCGTCGCCTCCGGTGAAGTGGGAGGTCTCGTGGAAGTCGCCACCGGCGCTGAAGGAGCGGCCCTCGCCACCGGTCAGCACGATGCAGCCGACTTCTTCATCGTCGGCCAGCTTCTTGGTGAGGGCCGTCAACTCGCGCATCTTGGGCCGGCTGAAGGGGTTCTGGCGGTTGCCCTTGGAGAACTCCACCAAGGCGGTCCCGGACGAGATATGGACCACGAAGTGATCCGAGGAGTCGTCGCCGGCGACGGGAGACGAACCATTCGTAAGAGAACCATTCGTAAGAGAACCGTTCGTAAGAGAACCGTTCGTAAGAGAACCGTTCGTAAGAGAACCGTTCGTCAGAGACCCGGGCATTGTGATTATGTGGTGATGCCAGAGGGCAGGCTTTGGCATCTAGGTACGTGTCCTGCCTTGGATAGGATATAAGATTGGCTTGAGATGTGAAATGTGAAGTATGAAGCGTGAAGTGTGAGATGTGCACCGAATTAGAAAAGTAAAAGCAGAGTGATGAGATGCAACCTGTGACAGTCGGCTTGCACAACCTCATCATGTTGCAGATGATTTATTTTCTTTATATACAGGAGTCTACAGCCTACTGTGGTTGCGGGCCAAAGTAAAACATCCCAGCCGTATACCCATGGCTTGAGCTGCCCCCATAGGCACATAGTACTTCTCGCTGTTGATGGTGTTGAGTAATATTCCACACTGCAGTCATTCAATGTCGCTATCTGTGGGCCGCATTCTCCATGATACAAGTGTCGGGGGTTAAACTTACCCATAGTAAGAAGTACAGTGTAGCTGACGTGAGACTGCGGACGCTGGAATCCTTCCGCGAAAGTTTCGGCGCGGCTCCGGGTATGTGGTGGGGACCCACCCGGCCATGTACGGCCCCCGGCACACCATGTCAACCAATAGCCGCAGGGTATTTCTCAGCGTCTGTCTAACTACTTACCTAAGGTACTTTAGTAACCGCCCAGGGCAATACCTACACTAAACTAACCCCCACGAACGGATCCATGCACACCAACGTTCTTTAGGGATTCGATCCGCAGTATCTAGGTAAGGTACGGATACCTTAACCTGACCGAGGGCACGTGGGGTGGACCTTGCTCCACATTGCCTCGTTAAGGTAAAGTAGTCTCAGCTGGTACAGGGTACCTAGATACTCAACGTACTCCGACCTTTGCTCTCCACCCCCCCCCCCCCCCCCCCCACCTCTGGTCCATACAAGTATGGTGCTTTTCAGCCTCTTCTAGCCTCCTCTAGTAATCATCCACCCTGTTAATGGAAATTGTGCGCCTGCTGATGGGATTGTGATCCTTGCTGTCTTTGATCCTGTCATCTTCCGTGCGTATGTATCCAATAAGTCGGTCATGACTCGTTGGAAGGCAAGGGATTTGGGCCTTTATTCGCGCGGTTAGTGGGTCAACATTCGGTTTTTTTTCGCATTTTGCCGCTGCTGGTGGCAGAGTCTCTAGACATATGCAAGTGGCTGGGTCATCAAGACGGAAAGCATTCTCGACCAGGGAAATGTGGAGGACTTCTGCCTGGACCTTGCGGGTCCTGCCGCAGGACCCGGAAAGCCTTTTCGGTCCGACTGGCTTATTCGTACCTATTTACCTAGAGTAGGGACTACGTCCCTTAGTGTTCCGGGCGGGCCGGCTCGGGCCTTGTCAGCCAAGTCTGCGGGGAAGGCTTATGTGACTGCGTCATGCCATTAGGCGAACTATGGATACACACCAACGCTGTAAAGCTTAATTGGGTTGCATGCATGTCGATGTCGACCCCGATGATTGCATACCTCTTAATTGTATATACATGGTCTACATGACAACTTAGAAGCTTGGTTCTGACGACAAGTTCAAGGTGGCATTATGAGGTCTTGTTGGTGATGTGTTTTGCAACCGATAGTCTGTTTGAACACTCTCTAGTCTACATTGACACATTCTACCCCAACACAAACAACAGCCCTTACCGGCCCTCCCAAGATCACCACGACCATGATGGCAAAATCCGTCTCTGACGTAGATGGCCGGGACCGCATATGGGAGCAAAACTCATCAGTGCCGCAAGGGGTCGAGGGTCGCATGGATGTCATGATATCGAGGGTAGTCGCCGCACAGCCAGACGCCTCGGCCGTTTGTGCCTGGGATGGCGATCTATCCTACCGGGAACTCGACGAGTTGGCCTCGCGACTCGCCGTCCGGCTTCAGTCTCTCGGCACCGGGCCCGGCAACATCGTGCCGCTGTGCTTCGAGAAGTCGCAGTGGACGGTCGTTTCCGTCGTCGCCGTCGTCAAGACCGGAGCGGCTTTCCTCCTGCTGGACCCTCTGTTGCCCACGGATCGTCTCAGAGTCATCATCCAGCAATGCGAGTCCAACCTGATCCTCACGTCGCTCTCCCACGGCGCCATGGGTGAGCAGCTTCAACTCCCGGTGACCGTCGTCACGGTCGGTCACTCTCTTCGCCAGGAACCCCTACCTCGACCGCCGTCGTCACCCCTGGACGAGCATCCGAAGCTCAAGCCACCAACACTGCGCCCCGAGTCTCTGCTGTACGTCGTCTTTACCTCCGGCAGCACCGGGATCCCCAAGGGATGCATGCTATCCCACGGAAACCTGTGCTCGGCCATGCACTACCAGAACGAATCGCTGGGCTTCCGTCCCGCCTCGAGAGTCTTCGACTTCGCCTCCTACAGCTTCGACGTGGCCGTGCACAACCTCTTCGCGACGCTGACCACGGGGGCCTGCCTGTGCATCCCCAGCGACGCCGACCGGAAAGACAACCTCGAGGGCTCCATGGCGCGCATGGGCGCCACGCTCGCCAACCTGACCCCGACCGTGGCCCGCCTCCTCAACCCCGACGCGCTGCCCGCGCTGGAGACGTTGCTCCTCCTGGGCGAGCAGGTGACGGACCTGGAAACCACGCTCTGGTGCGGGAAATCCCAGGTCGTCAACTCCTACGGCCCGGCCGAGTGCACCCCGATCAGCACGGCCAACTGCGCCGCCTCGACCGTGACCGGGCTCCGTCACAGCGGCAGAGGCATCGGCTCCGTCGCGTGGATTGTCGACCCCGCGGACCATGACGTGCTGTTGCCGTGGGGCGAGACCGGCGAGCTGCTGATCGAAGGGCCCATCGTCGGCCAGGGCTATCTTCACGATCCGAAGAAGACGGCCGACGTCTTCGTCCGAGACCCGGCTTGGCTGGTCCGTGGCGGACCGGGCGTTCCCGGACGGACCGGCAGGCTGTACAAGACGGGGGATCTCGCGCATTATGACGCCGACGGAAACGTCGTCGTCACCGGCCGGAAAGACACCCAGGTCAAGATCCGCGGGAACCGGATCGAACTCGGCGAGGTCGAGCATCACGTGTCGGCCTGCATGCCGGACGTGACGCGAGTCGTGGCGGAGGCCATCCTGCCGGCCGGTGCGGGAGCCGGTCACCTCCTGGCCGTCTTCTTGCAGACGGACGACGATCAGACCGACGGCATCAGGCTCGTGCACTTGGAGGACGAGGTGGCGTCCGGGCTCGCGAGGCATCTACCGGCCTACATGATCCCCACGCTCTTCTTCGCCATGCCCCAGATACCGCTCACCCTGACCGGGAAGACCAACCGGAAACTCCTGCGCGAGATGGGCTCGTCTTTCTCCATGGATCGAATTGCTTCGCAAACGGGGGGGCGCGAACGAGCCCGGAGGGCGCCCCGGACCGAGACGGAACGCACCTTGCAAACTCTCTGGGCTCGCGTCCTCGGCATCGACGGCGACTCCATCGGCCTGGACGACAACTTCTTTCGTCTCGGTGCCGACTCCATCACCGCTATGAAACTCGTCGCCGAGGCGCGAAAAGTCGACGTCCAAATATCCGTTGCGGATATCTTTCGGCACCCGGTGCTCTCTGGACTCGCCGTGCTCACGGCCTCTGCGAAGCCGCGCAACGAGACCGATCGCAACGGTGTGGAGGATCAACATCATCCGTCGACAAATGGCGCTCTCGACGTCATCTCTCCAGGAGAGCTGGATCACCGAGGTCCCCTGGGTCCGGAGGACATCATGGAGATACTGCCGCTTTCCGATATGCAGGAATCGCTGGCCGTGGAGGGTCTGTCCGACGCCCTGCAACTTGTCGACTACTTCTACCTCGACCTCCCCCCGTCAACCGACCTGGCCAAGCTCGAGAATAGCTGCCGTGACCTCTTGGAGGCGTTTCCCGTTCTCCGGGCTTACTTCCTCCCTTCCGCCGAAAAGCATTGGATGGTTATCCCCCGCACCGTCGACCTGATTTTCCGCATCATCGAAGCCGAGTCCGACCCGGACACCGCCCTCGCAAAATTCTGTCTCGACGACATTGCCACATTCGGCCGCCACCAGACCATCGTGGGCTTCTTCGTGCTCCGCAAGGCGGGGTCGGCCAACCGCCTCGTGCTGCGGATTTCCCACGCGCAGTACGACGGGATATCGATCGGGGTCATCTTCAACGCCCTGATCCTCTCTTACCAGGGGACGCCAATCGCGCCGGAGCCCACCAACTTCGCGGATTACATGGCTCACGTCGCCCGCACGCGTGACTCGGCAGTCGCATACTGGCGCGGTGTTCTGGAAGGGTCGTCGACCTCCCCGGCCGGCACATCTCACGAGAACGACGGCCTGCGAGTCCGGCCCGGGGCGCCGCAGGGCGTCGGGGCCCAGTCTTTCCGCGTCGAGAGGGAGGTAGCCACGCCGAAGCCTCTCGCAGGCATCACCCCGGCCTCCTACATGAGCGCCGCCTGGGCCGTGTTCCTGTCCCGGTTACAAGACGGCGACGGAGAGGTCGTCTTCGGGCGGCTGGTGAGCGGACGCAACGCGGCGATGCCGGGACTGGAGACGACGGTGTGCTGCTGCGTCAACGTCGTGCCCGTACGGGTCGACACCGGGTCCGCATCGATCGGAGAGGTGGCGTCCGCCATCCAGGAGCAGTTCATCTCCATGGGCGACGCGGACTCTCTGGGGTTCAAGAAGGTTGTGGAGAACTGCGGCGCCGAGTTCTTCTCCTGCACGCAGCACCAGAACGTGGAGGACGAGGTCTCCCTGACGGTGGAGGAAGGGTTCACGAGCACGCTGCGCCGGTTCGAGAATCCGCGGCGGCTGCCGTATTTCCTGTACGTGATTTCGTTCCCGCGGGGGGAGAAGACGGAGTTGCAGATTTTTGCTCATACGGGCATGTTGTCGGTCGAGAGGGCGGAAGAGCTGCTGGGGAAATTCTGTTTGTTTGTGGAGGGGCTGTCCTAGCGTATGCTTCAACCCAGAAGTCGAGAGAATCAAGAACCAAGAATCAAAAATCAAGAATCATGAATTTCATCACATTTGCTCTGTTCAAGCCTAGCGTTTCTGGAAATTTCTGTGTTCAAACTGACTCGGAGACAATTTTCGACCTCTTCTGAAGGACCGGAATATACTGTGTGTATGATGGGGATTTGCTCATATTTCATAGTCTGGATGAATTCGGCTTGCGGTTAAACCGGATGCCGTTGTAAACGATCTATCAAGTCTACTTATGGACAGATGTGCCTCAAATAGAGACCGTTCTATGATTTGCGCGCCTCCAGGTCATCCTCGTGTGGTCAAAAAACCTCAAGCTACTCGTCTACTCAGCCTTCAGGCCTTTGTTCGATACCTTCCTCAAACCAAGGGCCCCAAGCACGCAAGTCAGGGCCGCCGCGGCAAACATGGCCCAGAAGCTGGCCCTGTACCCCTTCAACAAATCGTCCTCCGAGTAGTCTTCGCTGTCGTTCCCAGCATGATGACCGGACTGGGAACTCTGCGACACGGTGGAGGAGATGACGCCGACCACGGCCAAGCCGACGGCGGTGCCGAACTGGGAGAACGTGTTGAAGACGGCGCTGGCGAGGGCTTGGGTCCCCTCCGGGAAGGTGCTGGTGATGATCAAGGCAGAGACGACGAACAAGGCTTTGTGACGGGGGTGCTTTTGTCAGTTCAAAGGATCGTTGACGGAGGCCAAGGTCGTGAAGACTTACTATCACCCGAAAGCGGAGACAAAAGCATGGCCCAGAATGAGGCATACCAGTATGGCCAGCCCGGGTCGACCAGCGCCATCACCAGAGGTGAGATGGCGGATAGGAGACAAGTCGAAAGCACGATCCAGTACACCGGCACCCGGTGGAGGATCACGCCCAGCGCGACGCTGAAGATGATGCCAAGAACGACATTCGGGATGAAACGGAGCGACGTCTGCAGTGCGGAGAGGTCTTGCACATTCTGGAAGCTGAGTTGGGCGTGGGTATCATCAGCGATCGTCATCACGGAGGATTAAGGGAAAGAAGGTGGAGATTGGTGGGTCTGCATGGGATCTCGTGTGGATGAGAAGGGCACGGGAACTCACAAAAGGCTGAAGATGTATTCCAGACTCTGGATCATGGCCCAGGTCAGGAAGACCATGCCACAGATGGACGAGAAGGCGGCCGTCTTCCAAAGGGAGTTGGGTATCAAGGCAGGCTTGCCAAGCTTCTCTTGGCGCCACATCCACCACACAAAGGCGGGGACGAGAGCGCCGGCGATGGAGAGCAGCACGATCTGGGTGGGTTCTCGTACCCGTTGACCATCGTCCGAGACGACACTATGTTCATGGGTCAAAGACGGATACTACAGCGTAGACAGGTGGGAAGGGTCGACTTACGCCAAGACGTAGGAGAACATGCCCAGGCAGGCACTCGCGACGACGGCACCGGCCCAGTCGATACGGAGCAAGATCTTGTCCCACGTGAACGGCCTGACCCCGTCCTTGGGGTGCTTGGACATGCCGAAAAGCGCAGAGAGAAAGACGACGAAGGCGACGCATGCGCCCAGGTACCAGCCGTACCTCCAGCCGATGGAGTCGACAAAGAAACCGCCGAGGAAGAGACCGACTGAGTATCCCGTGGGCTGACCGGCGCCCACCAAGGCGAAGCCGAGGTTGCGACGTTTGCCGACGGGGAAGTACAGGGTGAGCAGGCTCATGGCGGTAGGCAGCAACATGGAGGCGGCGATTCCCTGCACGCCGCGGAAGGCGATGAGCTGTGTCGGTGTGTTGCTCAGGCCGCTGCCGAGGACGGATCCCACCAGCAGCAGGCATCCCGCGAGGAAGATGATGCGGCTGCCGACGACATCGGCCACGGTGCCGACGATGAGCAGAGAGCATCCACCCGTCAGACTGAATGGATGGTCAGGGGTTAGCAAGTTGGAAGTACGGGGCGTAAGGGGTGAGTCAAACCCGTAAATAGAGGCCGGCCTAATGAATCGGGGGTGGTCAGCAGCCGAGTCTGATGCCGCGGAGCAGTGAGTTGAGCGACTCAGATGGACAACTTACCAAAGCAACAGGCCAGATGGGATGGCAAGGTCTTTGGCCATTTTCGGAAGTGCCACGACGAGAAACCCGGTAGTCAGGCTGCTCGTCAACGTGATGCCGGCTAATGTAGCCATGATTATAGCTGCCGCAGTGATGGAGAGGTCTTGGTCTGAAGAATGCACCGCCTCGTCCGAGTCGGTCACGGCAGCCTCATCGGTTGAAGCGGTGCCGCTGTCGACGCCGGTTGCCTCAGTCAGGGCCGTCGGTTTCTCGCTTGCCATTGATCCGAGGGGTATATCGGTCGAGGCGTCCAGGTCAGTCGTGACAGCTGGAAGCACACTTTGGTGGGAAGATGCCGCTGTTGCTGTTGCCGCTACCGCCATAGTGGATGGTGGTCGCTTTGGCGGTTTGTTAAACAAATTACAAATTTCTGTCCATTTTTGTCTATCATGTCCTGTGCCCGTCATTTTATGTTGCGGCTTTTTTTCCGTGCCCTACTTACTGTGTGTTGCGGGGGGAGAGGGGGGGGTAAAGTCTGATGGCTGATCTCCAATGTCAGACAGAGGGCAGCGGTGAGAGAGGCGCAGCTGCTGCCTACTCCGGGGGAGGCTCAGCGCTTGCCTGCTGGGGAAGGTCTGGAGATTGCCTGAAACAAGCCATTTATCCGGGGGTAGCCACCCGCGTTGGCGGCCAACATAAGCCGCAACATCACACTTGTAAAAGGCCAACATAAGCGGGGCATACGCCGCGTAATACGTAATACAGGGCCAGATACAGAACCGGATGTGTACCCGAACGCTTAGTACACTACGCACCAGGATCAGGGATTACTGACCGCAAGGGTATAAGTACATATGCATTATACATTATGTATAAGCAACAGTAGTACGACATCTGTACAAGGGGGGCTTATTCCCTATGTAAGCTGCTACAATGGACATACACACCTATTTTATCGTTCTTCTTCATACGTAAGATTAATACACGGGCCCTATTGTCTGAGTCACTACTGTTAAGACCTAAGTCTGGACGTACTTCAGCATTAGTGAAGGTAGTGATGTCTACGTAGCATGTTGTCGGTTGGCAGTCGTGTTGGACATCCGTATGGGTCGGCGGGGCCGAGACCCCACACCGTTCCGCCCCACCAGTTCCTTGTCAATTGCAAGGCTATTTCATTTCGCCTTCATGACCCACCGAGGCCCGTTCAGCTGTCCGTTCCTGATCGTATTGCGGGGTGATGACAACAAAAGTCCCTACCTAGTCATGTTAGTTGGTCCTACTGAAGACTGAAGACGGGATTGCTAGTCCAGAGCTTGAACCTCAATTGAGCCCTCGACCCGGTACCGGACCTGTCGACCGTACAACCCTAACCCTAGGCCAGTCTCAGTCTCAGTCTCGCCGCTCGACTTCACATAACGCGAGCCAAGCAACTTTCCCTTCTTTCTCTTCTTCCGTAATGCAGAATCTTTATCGATAGCGCCAAATACAGCAAATCCTACGCTGTACGTGACGGCCGTGACGGCAGAAAGTGAGACCGAGAGTGAGCTTATGCGTATGTAACATCAACACGTACCTTTCCAGGTCGGCGTGCGCACGCCATAATGTGACGGCAGTACGCCCCACTCTGACTAAGGCGATGTTTAATAAACTTCATCCCTCCGTTCAGTTGCTTGAGAATACTATTGGCCAACTTGCGAATCTTACCACTGGCTGGGTTCTCATGCTGCTCTCGGGGCACGAGTTAGTATCGAAACATGGAACACGAAGCTCTTACGGCACAGTCTATTCGCCCGAGCTTATGCAGGACATGAATCCATCATGGAGTCTGTCAGATTTCTCAGCTCTCACTTTTCCGCCCGATCTGCGGCTGCGGAGCATTACGTTAGCGAAGTTTCTCTTTCGACGAGAAGGATGGTAATCACCCGAGCTTAGGCTCCTGACGGCTGGGTGAAGGACATGGTGGCGGAAGATTCTAGTTCGTTGCGCCGGCGGAGCGTCTGTACAAGGCACAACGCAGGCAGAGATTCTTGATCGAGGCACGCCATATGTGGGCCACAGGATCCATGACGGGACCTTTTGCAAGTGGAATCACGAACTGTAGACGGACTTCTCTCATGATGTGCGATTCCGCCTCGGGCAGGGCGACGAAACGTCCTCAGGCTGTACAGTGCGGTCGAGACTTCGTCTGGATAAATAAATACCTAGCTCTTGACGGTTGAAAACCGGCATCGACACAAGATTCTCCCGTGTGTTCATTCTGTGTGTGTGTGTGTGTGTGTTCCATCCATATTTCTCAGTCCGACTTGTTGGCATGTTCTTGACACATTTTCTCGTCCCAAGCCACGTGGCTCTGTGGGTGGTGCTTTCCTGCCTCTTGCTGTTCGCTACCGGCTATGTCCTCCACGCCTTATGGTTCTCTCCTTACTCCCACATCCCCGGGCCGCGACTCTGCAAGATATCTCGCCTTCCGCTCGCCCTGATTGACCTGAACTTGCAAAGGAGTGCCAAAGTTCATGAATGGCATCAAAAATATGGTCATGTCGTCTTGATCGCCCCGGGCGAGGTTTCGTTCTGCACCCCATCGTCGACCAGGGAGATCTATGGAACGGCCGGGCGCCATCCCAAAAGCCACTACTTCGACCATTTCATATCCTACGGGGAGCGGGCTACCTTCAATACTCTCGATTACAAGGAGCATCGACAGCGGCGGAAGATCAGCTTCGCCTTCTTCCAGGCCACTTCCATCCACACGTCCGCCTGCGTCGACCCTGTCCACTCGCGCGTCGTCGCCTTCCTGGAGGACATCGATCGTCACGTCCAGGCTACGGGATCCACCACGGTTGACTTCTTCTCCCGGGTGAATCTTTACGCCTTCGACAACATCACGCAACTGATATTCGGATCCGGCCACTCCACGAGGACCGTGGAAACTCCGGGACCGGAGCGGAACATGCTGGAAGGACTGAAACACTGCGAATTGTGGAATCCCATGCTCTTCAACTTTCCCCTTGTGTACCACGCGATCAAGTTCGCCATGGTTCGCCTGGCCGGTAAGAAAGACTTCCTCAGCGCGGAAGACAACCTCACGGCATGGAGCGAACGGCAGGTGGCCGCCACTCTGGAAGACGACAGCTGTTACCGCGACAACACGTCTCTCCTCTCCCGGCTTCAGCAGTTCCGGGACAAGCGGGGAGATCCGCTCCCGGCTTCGTGGGTGAAGGCGGAGACGCTCGACAACTTGAACGCGGCGCAGACGACCGCCACGGTGGCCCTCACCTACGTGCTGTACAACCTCGCGCGCAGCCCCGTCTGGCAGGAACGCATCCGACAAGAGCTCCTCGCCCTGCCCGCCGGCGAAAACGGGTTCCCGTCATTCGCCGCCATCAACTCGGCTCCCGTCCTGGAGGCCTGCGTCAAGGAGTCGTATCGTCTGAATCCTCTGTCGAGTGGGCGCGCTGAGAGAGTGGTGCCGGTTGGCAAAGAGTATGACGGGGTTTTCGTTCCAAAGGGGGTAAGTAGCCGTGACTTCTTCCTTATTCCAGATTCATTACTCTTTTCTCTTCACCGCATCTCCATGCACACGACAATCACCGACTTTCCGAAGCAGCTCACTGACGTCCATGATCCATCTTTAGACTGTCGTATCTACCTCCACATTGGCCATCCAGCATGACCCATCAGCATTCCCCCAACCGGGACTTTATGACCCTGGCCGCTGGCTCAATGCTGGCCCTGATCGGACGCGGTTCATGGAGACGTTCTACATCCCGTGGGGTTACGGTGCGCGCATCTGCTTGGGCAAGGCCTTCGCCACTCTCGAGGTGAAGTTGTTGGTGGCCTATCTGCTACTGAGATACCGCATTTCGGAGGATGCGGCCTCCCCGACCAACGCCGACAGCATGATGCAGTTGGGCACACAGGATGCGCTTCCTAAGGGGCTCCGTTGCGACTTGCGAGTCGACGCATGGTCGAGGGCGGCCTGAACAGCGAAACTCTCGAGGCCGGCGACGGGATCTGGATCAGGTACTTAGTTACATACTCAGGCTCGTCTCAGTCTCGTCTCAGTTTAGAGCGGCGACTGCTCAGGACTGCAGCCAGAAAAGGTGGCACTCTCTACAGGAATCCCGCCAAGTCTGACACTCGACTCGTTAGCAACACAGCACTCGGGCAAGCACAAACCCTTATGTGGCAGCATAGGTTGAAAGGCCGGCTGTCAACGCGCAGGTTTTTTAAAATAGTATTACAGTATTAGAGGAGAGTCGGTTGGGCTCGTTATTATCAATCATTCTCCCCAAATTTAGAATTGAGGCGATTGGGACTCAATCAGAGTCAAGTGCTCTATCGTCAAGTAACTGCGGAATCATCTTGTTTTCGGCATTTGCCTGGTGTTCAAAGTCACAGTTCGGAATTTAGTCACGAGTACCAAGATGCTGAAAATGTTTGTCTAATTTGCACACATTACCAAACCTTCTTATATACCGGTACGATGCTTGACGTTTACAATCCATTACACGCCGTCATGACATATACCTCATCCTAAAGAATCCATATGAGAAAGTTCAGAATAGCACTAATAAGACATTGATCTGTCCTCTGATCACAATTACCACCCCGTGTGGAAATAAGGATCCCAGATGCTTCTGTGCTGAAACTGGGACTGTTGATGCTGCTGTTGCTGTTGCTGTTGCTGTTGAAACGGCTGGTATCCCGGGTTGTGCCACGCTGTTTGCTGTGACAGCGGCCCAGGGGGCGGGGGAGACAATGCAGTTGTTGCGAAGGAAGTGTGGGACGAGGTATGTTTCAGATCGTAGAGAGAGTTCTCGTACGTTGATTGTCTGTTGAGGAGTTGTTCAACTGCTGGGTCACTTGGTGGATGGTGAAGACGACGAGGTACATTGTTACGAGGATGGCTTCCAGAAAGTAAGAAACCACAACCTGTTCACATACATCAGCGCTCTAGCTTGTCATCAGCTGGGCAAGTTTACTTACTCTGATTCCGCATAGATCCAGACTGCCGGTATACCCCACTGCCTTACAGAATTCCATCGCACAATCCCCCTTGGGCCCCAAAAGAACAGCCTTGTTGAACCTCTGGCTGGCTTGGTAGTACGCGATCTGGTCTTTCGTCGCCGGCACCTCGGTGTGCAACATGTTGAAGGCAAACCACCAGCTGACGTCGGCGAACCAGGCACTCAGGTCGGTGTACGGGAAGGTGTAGTTTTCTGGCGTGGCCGATAGGATCAATTGGATATTTGGCTGTGGTTCTTCATCTGTTCCTGTTCAAGACCAGCTCGTAGCTAGATTGTACATGCAGATGTGTGGTTTGAGTTGGGCGTCGGTGGTACAATCTTCCATTAAATAGCGGCAGCCTTTCTAAGTCTCACTAGCACGGCAATCATATTCACCATGGCTTTACCACGCACTAATTGAAAAATGCGCATGAGTTATGTATTGTAATCCGCTTTTCACTGACTTTTCCCAGGCTTCTTGTGACTTCATGGCACAACAACCTTACATTCTCTTGTACTCCTGTCATGTTTGAGTTGCGACTCCACTGATCCAAACGCTACCTTAGTCCGGCTGACTGCCTCTTCAGCGTATCTGACAGAAATAGGTTGAGATATATTTATTGATACTATGCGGGCGATAGGCATCTCGGTGGAATTCCTCAGACACCCCTCTTTAGGTGTGATAACGCGGCGTGTTGTACTCAGTAGCCTTCGAGGTGTTTCTTTTCGACGCCCTTTCCGTGTCTGTCGATATACTGAGGACGAGACTGCCGCAACCTTTTCGACTTGTACCTCTTCAAGCTAAGTTATGTTGATTCTTACATCGTCTAATTCGGTCGCATGTGATGAGAAACTTGATTCATTCATGCTCCATATCACGGTCATAGTAGCATATGTACATAAACCAGGCCCAAAGCAAATTCACCAACAACTTCGCACGACTCATATGGCTTTCCTCAGTTGCCACTTTTGAACTTCAACTCTTGGCCCGAAACGCCCTGGTTCACGTTGCCAATCCCCGGAATCTTCCCACTGCCACCCTTCTTCATTACAGCAGTGTAGTGGTCAACAACCAGTTGAATCCCAGACCCAAACCCCATTCCGTCAAACTGACAATGCCCTCCATCGGGCTTGTTGTTGGCCGTCTGGAGCTTGTTGATGTCCTCCTTCTTCAGACCCTTCTCTGAAGCAATGCCTTCGTAAGCCTTCATGGCCATCGGGATAGACTTTTGCAGGCGGTCCAGCTCCTTCTGCGAAGTTTGGTAGTGAATTCGTGTCTTCGTCATGGCGTCGCGGGCTGAGGCCTCAACTGTCACCCTAGGCTCCATAGCGCCACAGCCTAACATGACACCATGACCGTCTCCAGCGAAATTCCCCATGTGCGCAGGAATGAAGTATCCACTCAGCATAAGGGATCCGCCTGAAATACCAGTGAAGTACACGTTAGAGGAGTTGAATGCCATGTACTTTGGCAGTGTCTTCATAACGAGGTCATTGACAGCCTGTGCATGGGCTACGCCATCGGTGCGGTTGAAGCCCTTGCCGCCACCCCAGTGGAGATTCTGATCGGGAGCAAGAACCGTCACACCCGCCAAATTGTCCTTGACACCCTGGTTCGGCATGTCGAAGAAGGATGAGCCACTGTCTCCGTGGAGCAAAACGTGCAAGCCGAGGTCTCCCTTGGCGTTTTCCTCCTTGTTTCCATCGGGCACCTTGCTGGTCTTTGTGAACTGCGCAGCTGGACCACTGATACGGAAGCGAATGTCAAGGCCACTGTGACTTTCGTCAGTGTCCCTCGGTTGCATATAACCTACATCACCAAAATACTCACTTCACCTTCTCTGTAGTGTCAAGAATGACTGAGCCATCCTTCGCCTTCGTTATGCCTTGTGGGACTTTCTTCGCCTTGTCCATTGGCGTTTCGCCACCTGGCTGCTGCTGTGGCAAGCACTGGACCAAGCCCAGGGCGGCAGTAAAAAGCACCAACGTGGGCTTCATAGTGATAAGATGGACGGGTTGTCACAGTAGACTGTTAACAATCGTGTTGCAGTAGCTGGTCTCCCAATTAATCACACATGTGTAGAACAGGGAGCGTTCAAGCCTGGAACACCTATACATTTTATCTTTCAACGGGGCGTTCATCGCTCCTCAGATGATTAATGAACTGCTCCCCCGATCCATCCATGTCCCGCATGAAAACTCACCATTTCCAGGCATCGTTGAGAGTACAACTGGAAGCTTTTCTCGCGTCCGGTTTCATCTGGACTTTGGGAGTGTTTATTTACACCGGGTCTGATCGTCCCGCCGCCCGAAGATTGCTTGTTTCCCACCTCCGTGCGTTTCATTAGCAGGTTAAGGTTCAAAGCGAGCCACGTGCATTTCGGCTCCAACCCTAGATTCGAGAAGATCGGACGGAGAGGGCATCCATCAACGGTTACAACGAGATTTCTTCTCTGTTTGCATGGAACCTACGGCTTGGCATCACTATTCTCAGAGCTGTCGAAACATGACGAGCTGGATGATCGAGTTGTAGATAACAACGTCTCTCAACTTGACATGGGACTCTGCTGTCACGACTGAACCCCTCCCGGTAAAACCTGCCTTACCCAGCAATTGGCTTGCTATTCACCGTACCTCGCTCTCGGAACCCGTCCACAGGTCCCCTATTTGGCATTCACACCCTCTCAATTGAAACTTCTCTTACCTGCGACGGTCGTCCCGGCCATTCATCTTGTGGCCGTCATGGAGCTTGGGATTAAGCTTCTCGAGCTTCTGCGGGGCTGCACCTTTTACCAATGGGTTCGCGGGAGCTCACTTGACACCCGCCAGATCCGGAACTTCGAGATCCATGTTAGGATGATGGTACGGAGGTTGCTGTTCTGAGTTGGCAGCTACCAAAAGACGGCGATCAGACGCAAACTCTGGGCTCGACATCTGGATGAGTCTATCCTGGATTTGCCCACTACCACTACAAAACGACATAATTTCGAAGTTAATGTGCAGCTCTCTCGCAAAACGGCTGCGACTAACTCACCTAGTTCGCTCGCAATGTTCGTAATCGTAACGCATTTCACAAGGGCCTTGATCTACCTAAATCATGCCCCTGCGAGGTAAGCAACGGAGCAGGGAAACTGCATTGGTCTATTCCAGCATTCAAAACAACAAATTATTGATACAGTGGTGTCTTCATTGATTTGGACGGTTGCTGTCGTCTCAAGCGCCTCGGGCTTGATTTACTTCAACAGACTTTGGTTCAGGTACTTTCGAAAGCAAAGAAAACGCTCATGGCATGGACGTCCAGGTCGGAAGTGCTCGTACGAATAACATGACCATAAGAAAACTGGCCGACGAAAAATCGTTGTCTTTCCTCAAAGAATGAATTTTTCTCAGTTATGGGGAAATCATCATTATCCTTCATCGAGGCTCTGGAGGCTCCGTTTGGGGCCGGAGGCGGAGCATTGTGGGGCAGTCACATAATACGAGAATGCGAAAAATCAGCGATTGGTCGAGAGCAGAGCGCGAATTGCTTCTAACAACGCCGCAGAGACCCCTATTATGTATTTAATAACTTGGCAGTGACATTTCGGAGGCTTCGTTTTTGGGATGTCTGTACTTCGGAAACACTCTTTAGGACGTTTCCGGCAACAACTTGTACTGTGATCCCAATCCCAACCGGCGCAACAGTTTATTTCTGGTCTTTATCACGCCCTCTTCCTGGTTCAGTAATCATTCGAAAAACACCAACGATAAGCCATGGGTCTTGTGCATTTCGAGGACGGAAAAGTCCTTTTCTACCCATACACACCCTCCAAGGCCGCAGGTGTCATATTCTTGTTCTTTTTTGCTGGCATCTCTTTATACCACATCTTCCTGATACGAAAGTTCAAGACTAAATACTTCATCCCAATGGTACTGGGAGGCATATGTAAGTTCAAAATCCTCCAGATCAACGATCCGGCTTTGGAGAAACTGAGTCTAACAAAAAGGGCAACAGGCGACACCTTCGGCCACCTAGGCCGCGCCTGGGCCGGCTCCGCCCCCCTCTCCCCCAAACCCTTCATGCTCCAACCCATGCTCATCCTCGTCGCCCCCGTCTTCATCTCCGCCACGCTCTACATCACCCTCGGCCGCCTCAAAGAATCCCTCCTCGGCTACCCGCGGCGCAGATGCAGCCCGACGAGCATCTTCATCCTCACCGACATCGTCGCCTTTTGCACGCAGATCGGGGGCTCCCTGGTCTAAGTCATCGCAGACCCGAAGATTATGGAGATTGGCGGCCACGTGGTGCTGGGCGGGCTGCTGTTCCAGCTGTTTGTGCTGGTGGTGTACTTTGTGCTCGTTGTGAGGTTCCAGAGGGCGACGCAGAGGGAGGTGATTTATGTAGAGAATTGGAGGCGGTATGTGTGGACGCTGGTGATCTCTGTGGTGGCTGTGTGGGTGCGGAATTTGGTGAGGGCGGCGGAATTTGGTCAAGGCTGGTATGGTTTTGTGAATCAGCGCGAGGCGATGATGTATATCTTTGATTCGTTCCTGATGTTCTCGGTCATGGTTGCGTTTGCTGTCTTCCACCCAGGACAGCTGAATGATTCGCAAGGGAGTATGACCAAGGGCAGGCAACGCGTCACGTCTGAGAAGGTGGTTATGGGTCCGTTCGGAAACCTAGCTTAGGCGGGAGACAGTTAGACGTCTTAAAAGAAGACGATTTTTGTACAACGTCTACCAACATTCATTCTCAGCGCCACTCCTCGTCAACCACAGTGAGCGCATCATACCCGCCCTTCACAACCTCAGAGTCGACGACGAAGATCGCGAGCAGCTTCGCGCTCAGCACTCGACTGTTGTTTTCTCCAACTGTGTGGTGACATCCCGGCTGTTCCATGAAGCTCTCGCCGACTTTATAGACCTTTGGCTGGTTCCCGTTCATACCACTCAGTATGGTGCCTGCTGTGACGCGCGCAATCACCGTTGCCCCCGAGTGGCGATGGGGAGGGGTGAATCCATCGGGTGGATATTCTACCTCGACTCCAACGATCGATTTCCCGGGAGAGTTCTGGAGTTGGTAGTCGTAGAGGACTTTGACAGTCTCTCGAGGTCGGTTGCTGTTTTGGTAAGCAAAATGACAAGGACTATGTGGAGGAGGAGGGGGAGGGCACTCACCGGCTGTCTTCGGTGTGATTATTCATCTTGCGTAATGATAGAATGATTCTATGCTGAAGGTATACACTTGACTCAATAAAACATCAAGCATATCAGACCTTTCTTATACGTGCTGGCATATTCATGGAAATGCCGAGGTGAGCCACCCGTCATCTCATCTGCCGACTGTTCAAGCGGAAGCACAGATGTTGTGAAGCCGACACCGACAGAATATGGATACCCGCCGATGTCATCTGAAAGTATGTTGGGAAACCGAGGCTTTGGTTTGTTTTCGGGCTCCCATTCGTAGACTAATGTAGTCATGTTATGATGGTGGCCAGAACGAGACCCCGATGCGGACTACCGGGTACCCGGCCCCACCTCGATTCCCGACCCCAATCCCGCGCGGCGTGGATTACCGAAGCTATGTCCTACCGGCCATTATCTCTAATCCGTTAAAATACGATGAGAATTTGCGACGATGCCAATCAAAAGGCCAATAAATTCTCACTGCTACGGCATTCACACCTATACACCACTTACTCAGCCCGATCAATATTCCATAGCAAACATGAAAGCAATCCAAGTCCTTGGCCCCGCCTCCTCCCCACCCCCGTCCCAAACCACTCCGAAATCCTCATCCGCGTCCACGCCGCCGGTATTACAGCTGACGAACTCCTCTGGCCCGAGCTCTACACCGCGCCCCAACGCATCCCAGGCCACGAGCTCTCCGGCACCGTCGCCGGCCTCGGGCCCACCTACACCGGCCCCTTGCGCCTCAACCAGCCCGTCTTCGAATTCATCGCCGCAGACCGCGGGGGCGGCGGACAGGCGGAGTAAGTCGTCTGCCTCCCGGACGAAGTCACGCCGAAACCGGTATCTGCGACGCATGAAGAAGCTGCTGCATTGCCGATCCCGCTTCTTACGGCATGGGAGGGGATCATCACCCGCGGGAAGGTTGAGCCGGGCATGAAAGTGCTGGTCACGGGCGCCGGCGGTGCGGTGGGGAGTGTTGCCGTGCAAATTGCGGCGCGTTGCGAGGCTGAGGTCGTTGCGCTGGCGTCGTCGCGAAGTGAGGAGAAAGTGAGAGAGAGCTCGGGGCACAGGAGGCTGTGGATTACAATGATGAAACTTGGAGTGCTGAGGTACGAGGCGTGGATGTGGTGTTTGACACGGTTGGTGGAGGTGTGCTGGGTAAATGTTGGGAGGTGGTTAGGCCCGACGGGATGATCATCACCGTCGGCGACCCGGCGCCGAAATGGGCATTTGGCCGTGGTCCGGCAGAGGAGGCTGGGAGGTATCCTGATGTGCGGTATGAGTACTTTATTGTGTCACGGAGCTTAGAGGCGCTCTCTACGGCGGCGGGGATGATTGACGCGGGGTTGATCGAGGTATCGCGGGTGGAAGCGTTTCCCTATGAAGAGGCGGAGCAGGCATGGTAGTATGCTGGGAAGCGAGGGCGTGATGGCAAGGCAGTCATCACAATTGTGGATTTCGCCGAGGATGGTCGAGTAAAGCAATGAGCTGGGTCTTTACCATGCTGCGGCTTAGAGTGTTTGTGAATGATATCCAGGTCCGTTACTTAAATGTTGGGTTGAAGAGCTTGGGCATGCAGTTCAACCGTCACTTATCAGCTCTACATGTACCTCAGTGGATATGAGGGGTTAGGTCTTTTTAATAAAGTTACTATCCATGAAGACTCCTTCTATCAAGGTGAGGCTTCTTGCTTGGGGTCTTTCACGACGTGGAAAAGTCACTTTTGACTAGAAGTAGTGTTTCTACTTAGGATGACTTTTGCTTCATGGAATTTACTTCTAATACTGTAATTAAGCTGTTAGTCACCGAGGCATGTGAAGTGGTGACACTGCTCATTGGAGCTACAGCCAGCAGCTCTTTGGTCCATGCTCTGAAGTTATAGAGACGGTATGTTTAGTTCACCCTTCTTAAGGAAAACGATATCCCCAGAAAGCGGATCCATGGCCGTTGCAAAGTGTGTGAAGTCATTGAACACGGGCTCAGACATCATCCACCTCTTTAAGACGCTCTTAGTAACGCCTCGAGTTCGAGGATTTGGCGGGAGACTCTTTGCCAGAGCGATACACGATCCATTGCCACTCTGCCCTTCCGCTGTGTCGTCGATAACCGCCGAGGCAGTAGCCCCTAATCTCTTGCTGTGAGCCTTCCAGTTGTCATGGACAAAGTTCTGCCGCTCAGCCGATCCGGAAAGCCATAGGGAGTCCTCCGGAATGGAAGATGAATCTTCCAACTCGAGTGCCTTGTGGTGGAAATGGGAGGCCCCGCAGCAGAGGGTGTGGTTGGTGTCGTGGTTTGCCTGGGCAATGAAGTCGTACGTGTGTTTGATGTTGCCACCGATGTAGTCTTTCTGGATGACCACCGCCTCCTGTGGGGTGCTGAATATGAGGTAGCACGACGGCGACGGGTTCTTGACGAAGTCGTTGGCGAAGGCGACAAGGCTGCTGGTGTCTGCGTCTTTTGCGCTTTTAACATCGACGGGTTTAGGTGGTATCAGCACTTGACGTAGCATGGAGGAAATCGATGGTCTTCGGCCTAGTAGCACGAGGGCCTGGTGGAAAATGGACGACTTTGTCTTGGTGTTCAGCAATGGCCTGTGGTTGAGTGAGAGAGATAGTCCTGGTCTAATCATGGGAACTAGTCAACTCCACGACCATCACAAAAGAGCACTCAATGCGACTTCTCCTACCTGACGCCGGTGAGGGTACCGACAAACCCGGCGTACGTGATCGATCTCGCCAAGACGCGATCAGGTTGTTGTGACTTGGAGTCGACAAAGTCAAGTTGAACCAGTACATCCGCCAGCTCCGGCATGCCCCAGTCAAGCGTGCGAAAATGCATCAAATGCGACGGCGCATCTTCCGGGGCGTCATCATCGCAAACCGGGACTGTACCCGAGGTGCACCCCAGCAGACAATCCAGAAAGGTGTTGAGGGCGACGACGAGATGCAGATCGACGCCAGCCGTCTCGGCGATGGAGCGGATCTCGCGGTTCTCGTCGTCGTTGTAGACGCGGCGCAGACACAGGCGGACCAAGAACTTTGCGAGGCGGATGATGGGCGGGTAGACCAGGATCTGTGCAAGGACAAGGTCGCAAAGGGGCGCTATGGCCCGCAGCTGCTCAGCAAAGTCCTTTGCTATTTGGACGTATCGCTGCTCTGGCGGGAGGGCGAGGTCGATGCGGTAGATGGGCACCGCGTCTGTTGACGGCATTTTGAAGGATGCATGTGTGATATGGACTGGAGGTTGAGTGGAGGTTGGGCGGAGGTTGTGCAACGTCGACTACCTTATGCATGCGCGATGGATGCTGTCGCGGAAAGAGGTGCAGATTCTGCTCATCGCTCCTGCCTTCTGCTGCTCTTGCTGCATCCGCTATCGCTCTTGCTCTATCGTACCTTCCATTCTCAGACCAGCCACATTTAAATTGCGGGGTCTACGCCACACTTTGAAAATTCTGTTCATGCTTCCATATATGCCGACTGGGTAAGCATCGCAATACCGTTCAAAAGCTCCGATCCAAGTTCGCAGCAATATTGTATCGCTGCCGACAGTCACAGTGACGATTTTCGGTTACTGGGCGCGGGTGGCGGCAGGGTTGCAGCACTGACAGAGGCCCAGCGCGGTGGAGAGTGAAAGCCCCGGCTGCGACGGCTGGCGCACTAAAAATGACCACGTAGGAGAAGAATGCGGTGTTGAACCAATCAGCAGGCGAGCGCATTCGTGTCTCGGTGCCAGCCGTCGACCCCTAATGCTTGCTTACGGCCCGTTTGCGATGCTGAGTTGTCACCGGACGATGCAGTTGGTGTCGAAATACGTCATTGCTTCTTCTCAGAAAGACAGACAACTTTCAGGAGAATTTCGAGAGCTAATACTCATATTCTGCGACACAATTTAGTAGGTGTGAATCACGACATAAGGGGAGCAGGGCAGATGAGCAGGGCAGTGTGTGTAACCGAGGCGAGGCAGCGGCGGCGAATGTCCATGTCTGGCATGCTCCGTCGCAAATCCGAGTCGCCGGCCGGGAACCGAGACGGGTCCTTGGCGGGGGCTCATAATGTTGCAGCACACCTGTGCAGGCCATCGGCTCAATAAAAGGTTCCGTCCGACCCGCAGCGTTGCCGTCGCTAAGCCAGGGAGTGAGTCGTGAATCATGGACAGCAAAGCAGGCTGGGCCGTCTGTTGCAACACATGTTGACAGCTGTGTTTCTGCTGCCAGGCAAAACCCGGGAAATCGTGCTGGGGGATTTTCTTTGAGGGCCGCCGGAGCCCTTTTAACCCGCCACCATTTACTGCTAAGGTGGCTGTAGCGCGCCCCGACGCCGCCAAAAAGCATCCGTGACGACCAGAACACGGCCAGAATTCCTGGGCGCTTAAGGCGGCGCATCCCTGAAAATCCAGGATTCGAATGTCGTGATTGGCCCTGGCACCTGCTTTTACTATGGGGGGCCATCTTATCAGATGATCTAATCTGATCGGTCGTTTTCGATTCGCCGTGCAAC